ATTCATTTATATGAGTCATTATAGGAAGGTAATCAAAGTTTCAACACAAATGTAAACTTTTACTCAAATGACAATGTACAAAACAGCCAAGTCATTTAGTGCTTCGAAATTCATCTGAAAAGAATGTATTTGAGGGAAGTTTGCTAAATGTTTTCAAAGATGGCTAAAATGCTAAAGTGCTGACTGAAAAACTAGTTCTGCTGCTAGCGCATTAGCGGAGTTGAGCTGAGTGCATTTTCAAAATCAGCAAAAACACTATGAGAAATCAGCGTAGTAATGGAAGTGTGCCCACTACTCACACTGCTTCTAACCACCAAAATAAACCATATTTTATTTTATTTTTTGTAAAATATAGAGTAAATGCAATCAATAGAGTAGAATGAGTGCATAGAGATCATACAACATGTCATTTCAATGACTCTACTCACTATAGTGGATTCCCCTATGCAGATTTTTCAAAATTACTAATAATACCAAATTATTCCTGGAAAAGCTGCATGTTGGTAGATTTTTTTCATACACCATGTCTAAAATGCAGTTTGTTACTTGGCATGGTAACTTGGTGCTGATTGGCTGTAACCCCAAAGTGAATACCAAGTGTAAGTATAATTTTGATTTTGTGGAGATTAGAGAACACTAACAACAAAATCAAACTTGTGAACATGATATTAGTTTTTAGAAATCAATATATGGATTCCAAATATGGCATCCACACCCCTTTGTGAGTGAATGTAGATTTCTGACTACAAGTGGAAGCTTGCAGAAGAAATACATTCCATGCTTCATGTGTGGCATATTTACTCACTGACATTTAAATCTTCAACCATTTTGCAAAGTCTTTGTGGATGACTCTTACCTTGCCCTCACACTTCCTGTGGGTGCCTGTCTTGCATACTGAAAGAAACATAAAAATGACAGAATTTTTTTTTTTTTAATTTAGTCAAGTAGAAAGAGCACAGTCTTTTTTATGTCCAAAGAGAAACAATCACCAAACTGTTGGAACTTATTTAAACTTATATTGATTCTTTTGTCTAAACTATTCATCCCGACAGCCTAGTAACACTCTTACCTCTGCAGAAGGAGCCCACGTTGTCGATGTTCTGTCGACACACGCTGCACTGCCGTTTCTTCTTGAACGTCTTTTCCTTGAAGACATGGGGCTCTCCCTTCACTGCCTGTTAAACAACACACACACACACACACACAAACACACACACACACACACACACACACACACACACACACACACACACACACACACCACTGCTGAATGACTGAGTACAGACACCTGATACTGGCTAGAGTGCAGCAATATGTGGATGCCTGCTCACAGAAACACTGAAAGAATCCTGTTTTGACCTCAGATGTCTAACAGGAGCCACATAGACACTAGAAACAGAGCTATTTTACAAAACCAAACCAATGAGGCAATGCATGAGTGACTGAGAGGACTGTAATTATGACAGGAGCTCTGAGAGACCAGCTTTAACCTGTTTGTCTGACTGACTTTTCTTCGTGCATGAAAGCTCTGTATGTGCACAACAATAGCAGCATCAGTGCTCTGCACCTTTTGCCTCTTGAACTTCTTCTGGTTGTGTAACAGTCTTCCAGTAATGATCCTCGTGGTCCCCGCCCATGCCTCACCTATAATCCCATCTCTGTTTGTGTTTTTGTGTGTTAACTGTGTGGGTGCAAGACAAGAGAAAATATGAATAGATTTTTACAGGTCAAAAAAAAAAAGAAAAAAAAAAAGAAAAGAAAATTCAGCTGATCTAACAGCTGAAAGACAGCTGGACAATGTGAAACCATGAGAAACGAACCGGGTCCTTTTCTCATGTGAACATGTGTGTCAGTGTGGACAGCAGTACATGTGCTGCAGTCATCCTTCCAGAGACTCTTTGATGAATTTGAACACTACAACACCTACAAACAAGGGCTCATCTGAAGATAAATAATTGAAGAAGTTCACAAAAGAAAGAAAAAACATGGGCACGTCTTTTGGAAAATCGCAAGTAATCAGCAGCAAATTTTAAAGTAGCAAATTTAGTGCTACAAACTACAGTGTGTTTATCTGGGAATTCATGTTGCATATAAACACATGGCATATCTACAGAAAAGGATTAGGTCGACTAAAAAAAAAAAAAAAAGAATGGGGACATTTTTCTCATAATTCTGATTTTAAACTTAGCATCATCAGACAAATCTAGTCTTGAAACTCAAATCTACCAACTAATTTTGGAGAAAGACTCAGTGTGGAATAAGAGCAGGTTTACAAATCCTATAGCAAATAAGAATCAGTTATGCAATAATTTTTCATATTTTCCGTATTATGTATTTCCGCATTATTATGCTAACAGCATAACTGATGAATGAAAGGTTATTCATTTGGATTTTGATATAGATTGACAGAATTAGAATTGTGAATTTAAAGTCAGAATTATGAGAAAAAAAAGTTAGATTTCTGAGATTAAACTCATATATTTTTAATGGCCCTAATTCTCTTCCATAGACATAAAAAATAACATGATTTTAAGAGTTTTACAGTGAAGACTAAGGAATAAAACAATAGACAATTCCCAGGTTTGAATATATCACAGATATGCCAGTATTATGGATCACTTAGAAAAACAAAAAAAGAGTTTGGTTATTTATTGCACACGCATTTCAAGACTGAAGATGAAACAAAAAGAAACAAGTTGAAATGTGAAAAAAGTCAAAGTGGCAAGAACCAGATAGAAATGAGAAGAAATTGGGAAAAGCATTTAAAGTTGAAATGACAGTGGTGAAAAGATTTGTTTTAGAATGAGATTTAATACCAAAGACCATGAACACACACGGAACATATTTGACACATAATAACATGCTTAGAAAGAGCACATGAATTATAGCATTGCCTCAACTGTCAATTGAAAAATGCCCCAAGGTTTTCCTTCTCTTTCTACCAGAGATAAAGAGACTGCTAGAAATTCTGGGATTTAGGCCGTAATGACATGTGTCTAATTGGACATAACTCTGGTCACTGATATTTTGTTCTGTTATATTAAGACTATAAAGACTGAATTAATCTCCTTAGTCATCTTCCCTTTGAGCTAAACTAGAATCACAATAAATCCAGAGAGCTTTCTCTTGGGGTGCCTGATAAGTTCCTTCTAACCCTTTGTTTTTCATTATTTGTTGGTTGTTTTGTTCCTTATTTATTATATGTAGAATCAGCAAATGCTAGTACTATATATTAGGCTGATTAACAGTACATTGAAACTTTAATTCCATTATTAGCTCAAACTGATTTTCTCAGTCTTTTTAGTTGGCATGTCTATGACTGATTACATAAAGAGTCATCTTTCCTCCACTTCACCTAAACTTTGTGTTTGTCATAAAAAAATCCAATAATATACACTGAACTTTACTGTTGAAGGGTATAAATACATCTGCAAGGCATTTGTATGGGTTCTACATTTGCTGGGTAGGGTTTTTTCCTTAGCAACAGCAGAATACCAGACCGTTTGGACATGTTTTCTATTATCCTTCCTTTTCTGACTGTGTTCTGGGAATTGACTGTGTTTGGGCAGCTGCCTGCCTGGTGTCACCTCACCTAACCCAGCTGTGTTCAACAGCGTCTGATCCACTCCGGTACAAGTGTACTCTGATCACAGTAACCTGGACAGTGAAGGTGCACACGGTGGGTGGCTCAGGGGGGCTGATACCAGTTATGTCATTTGATATTGTTGGGTGAAAGGTTGCCTTTTTACCATTACACTTAGAAACAACCAAGGTAGATGTTTTACAGACTTAACCTCCCCCCCACTGCATTTAGCTTAACTTAAAAATGTGTTCTTGTTAGAAACATCTAAAGGGAAATGCAGTGGGAATGAGTTTAACTGGGCCATATTGATTTATTTCAGACTTAAGCAATTGTGTTTCAACAGAACGGCTGGTTGAAATTGACGTTCATAAATTGGATCAACCTTGACCTAAACGCCGCTTACTCCGCGGAGCGCCGATATCTAATATCCAACTTGAAAATAACTTCACTGCGCCCCTGATCTCCAAATTATGCCCCACCTCTTCAGTGACAACTCTCACACAGACAATACAAGTCTCATCCCCATTCATTCATTCATTCATTCATTCATTCAGACAAGTATTAGTTCACACACACACATACATTTTTGACCTATCATTCAGAATAGTATGTCTGTATGCTTTGTGTGTATGTATGTGATATTTTAATAGTGAATATGCGTAATCTTAGTCTTTCGTGTGTGTGAGAAAGAAAAATTGTTCTCAGTATAAAAGCAAACACCAGCTGAAAACGTAGCAAAGGTTGCAAATTTGGTCCCCGATTGAACAGAGCATACTTATGAGGTGTGAAAACACTCTAAGAGAAATTAGAAACCCTTAAAAGTGGTTTTGACAGGTCAAAACAAAACAAAACAAAACAAAACAAAACAAAAAGAGAGACACAAAAAGAAAACAGGCATGCGTAATCGGCCAAAAGTGAACTAGAAAGTTATGGATTTATCCTGAAGCAGTGGTCCATCCTCAAACTGTTCACATTTCAGCCAGCAAGATGAGTTTTGTGGCATCAACCATTGCTGCTTCAGTGATACATACAGCAGATTACAGCAATACAGCAATTAACTGATGAGTTAATTAAAGCAAGGCTGTATTGAGAACACAAACAGCTTTTGCAACCATCCTACAGTATTTATATCCATTTTCAGAGAGCATGCAATCAGTTTCCTCTATAAAATTTTGCAATCGTTTTGTGAAGTGTCCACAAACACAGGCATTAGCATCCTCATGGGGCCGCGGCGAGTTTAAAAAAGCAACCAGTTACTGTCAGCTGAGGCCGCAGTGGTGATGTGGGCTGAGATATAAACACACAGAGGAGAGGCTGGCAGCATTCTTCCTTCTTCAGACACAATCACGATCACTATATAATCCAACCACACGCAATCATGGTCAGACAGTGATACACGACTCAGCCACTGAGTGCTCTATAAGGTGCTGTAAAGTTGCTCTATGCTGGTTCATGTAAGGCAACTGCAGGGGGAAACCACAACTAAATGAGGTTGAGGTTCCACTCAATGAACCTCCATTTCCAACTCTGCTAAACACAAATCTTTAAAATGTTAAGAGCTAAAACTCATTTCAGTTTGAAAAATTCACTTGCTTATAAAAGCTGTGCAGTTACAAAATAATACATTTATGCATAGGGTTTATTTAGGAGGAAATTTGTTTTCAGCCCCACATGAAGCCTTCCCAATGCAATACAAAAATGGAGGACTGGAAACTCATCCAGACCACCAGCTGAATGCACCACATCGAGAGGTGCTTTGGTTAGCTATGATTGCCCTAGAGTTGTAATGAAATGTCACCAAATTAAAACAGTACGCTATGTCTACCCAAGTTGTAAGCCATCTTTTGAATTCCTAAGATGCAGTTAGAATGACTGCGATGAAGCCGACACCACATTTAAATTATTTTTTGTGGCAACATTTGGATGTCATGGTAGAAATAATAAATGTTGAAAGATCACAAGACAAGAAACAAACCATTTATATATACCATTAGGAAATATTCTGATACAACAACAATCTTCCAAATATGATGCTAATTCCTAGCTTCTTGTAAGAATAAAACTGAAGGGCTATTTTACCTGTATGTCCCTTACTTGTAGTGATTTGTCTAGTAATTGACCTCAGAACAAAATGAGTGGAAAAAAAGTGGATGATGAGTCCAGAAAATGATCAAAGCATAATTGTCAGATCATACCATCACTTCTGCATTAGGCTTTCTGCAATGTGAATAAGTGGCTAAAAGTTTAGAATGTATTTCGCCAGAAGCTGCTCCTCATATCGACTTGGGAGTCCAGCAGAGGAAACCAGAATGGAGGACGTTTACAGCTTTGTGGAGGATTACAACACAGAAACAGCTGGTGGAGTCACTAAAAACAATCCGTAATGCCGAGCTCAGTCCCCAGGATGGTAATTACTGTCACTGCTGCACTGAATAAAAAAAACCTTTTCCTCTGCAAGAGCAAATCTGTATGAATCACTAGAAGCTGCTTCTGCACCCTAAAAATAAACAACAAAGAATATTCCAAACACTTCTAAAGCAGCATGAACTATTTTACCTTCAAGTATCCTGTTCTACTCCCTCAGGAACCGAG